TTTTTTTTTAACGTTTATTTATTTTTGAGATAGAGAGAGACAGATCATGAATGGGGGAGGGTCAGAGAGAGTGGGAGACACAGAAACTGAAACAGGCTCCAGGCTCTGAGCTGTCAGCACAGAGCCCAACGCGGGGCTCGAACTCATGGACCGCGAGATCATGACCTGAGCTGAAGTTGGACGCTAAACTGACTGAGCCACCCAGGCACCCCAAAAATATGCCATTTCTTAAGAGAAGATAAAGGGAATTGTTATTTGTCCATTTTTATGAACAGCTGACCTATAACACTCAGGTATTTATTAGAATTCATAACTTAGATTTTCAGGCATGAGTTCGTTACTAACTGCATTGGAATATCACTTGTTCATTCTGCAGAAGAGTGATTAGGAAATCCGAAGAGAAATGACACTGTGTTGGGAATATTTTAAGCACTTTCTGCTTTATGTCTGTCAGGTGTCAAAGTTTAGCGATAAACCTCCATTTTCCTCATCTAGTACTTGGCTGCTGTGTTGTACTAGGGGGAGCTGAGGTGGGTCTCTTGGCTGAATGCTTTTCTTCCTAGGGGTCTCAATGTCAGAATGCTAAGGAAGTGATGGGCTCATCCATTTGCCCTGGAATATTACTAAGTCGTGTGGATTTGTACTGGGGTAAAGGAAGTGAGTTTTCCTCCCACTTGGTTTTGTTTCATTCAGAACTCATCAATTCACTTAGCTCTAACAGTATATTATAGGCAAATCTTTATGATCTTACTGACGTATGTTTTTTGTATATTTTTCTGTCCCTTTCAGCTTATAGCTAAGGAAGGTGTAATTAAGAAATGCAGTCTGTGTTCCATTTAGGCTGGTGCTTTATGTTAGTCCTGTGTGAGTGTCTCAGAAAGGAATAGTGAAGAATTGGGACAACTTCCTTATACCTCCTGAGTCTCTCACAGTGACTTCTGTTTTTTGAAGTATTGTGAACTCTTAGCCAGATTATCCCTCAAACTCATGTTCAGAGGCAAATACAAAAGTATATCCGAAAACCAAGTATAAATAATTTGAGACTGGCTGCCATTTTAGATGATTCACATCAGCGCTCCCCTCCTCATCACAAATAATTCTTGCACACACGTCAAGGGACTAGATGCTCTAACTTGGTGGATGATTCGGAAATAAAGAATACATTTTGAAATTCCCAGAGAGGACATTATTATGTATCTTGAAATCTCAATGAGGACATGCCTCACTACAAAGAACAGGGATGCCACTGAAGGAGAAACCCTGTATCCTGTTAACCAATCCACTCCTGCATTGCTGGACCCTTTCCTTACAGAAGCTGAACTGTGTGACCGTGTTGTGATAGGTCTTCAGAGGAAACGGGGGATCCGCTTTTTTTTGTGACCTGATTTTCCGAGATCCTTCATGTTATGGGACTGTGGAGTCCTTTCCGTGACTTAGGACCAATGACCAGATGTGCTGTTTCTTTGGTGTTTCAGTGATCGATGATGTTCTTGTAAATCCCTTAGGGAATTTTAATACTGTTCAATCTGTATTTAAACGGTTCGATCTGCCAATAAGGAGTATGACCCTTGGCAGGAATTAATTTTGTATTTGTGAATGGCCAGTTAAGTGAACACCTAAAGAACTTCATAGAGCAGGCAAGCATAAATCTCTCAAGCAAAATGCCTTGTCTGCTCCCTAAGTAACTGATGCCAGTGTGCCAAACTCCAGAACTGCCATTAGTTTGGATATTTGGATGGTTTACTTCAGAAGTCGATTGTAATGCCAGCCTGGTATAGATCATTCTCTGTTTCTTCTGTCCTGAGCCTGTCACCCTGCAGAGTCCCTGTTTCTAGACTTACAGTATTGTGAAGTACAAAACCACACCAGGCAACTGCAACCAATGGGCATTTGTGGCAACAGGAAGAAAAAGTTGATAGAGGCTCATCGGTATTTGTTTTCTCTCTCTCCCATCTCCTGCGTTCTTATCAGGCAAAAGTAGAAGAGAAGATCCAAGACGTCTTCAGTTCTTACAAGTTCAACCACCTTGTACCAAGGTAAGCATTTAGGAGTTTGAGGGGATCTGGGAGAACACCCCCTCCTCCGTGAGCCTTTCTTCTTTCCTCCATGAGCCTGTTCAACCTTGGGGATAAGTCTGCCATGAGACGGGTTTCTTGACCTTGTGGTCCCCTGGATAAGCATGTGACCCCAAGCCCTTCCTCTGTTAGTGGTTTAGAGGAGATGCTCCCCTCAAGCTGAGCCATCCTGTGTTATGTGGGGGTACCCCTCAAGGCCTGAACTCTGAGCTCTGAAGATGGGGAGAGGAAATTCATGTTTCTGCTGCTCAGTTGTGACCTGCTACTCTGGTGGTTTTCTTTCTCGGATTATACTTTGAAACAGACGTAGAGCCCAAGGGGGCAGCAAAGGATGGATTCTCTCGATGTATGCTGTGATCTGATGGGAGGATGGGCCGAGCTGCGGCTTCTCCCAGCCTGGCCCCTGTTGCTAAGCGTGCAGCTGCTCCCAGGGATTCAGTTTCTGGGGAGAAAATAAACAGCGCCGTTTTGCTTTCCTTGGCACTTAGCAAGTTAAAGTTTTCTAAGCAATTTGATGTCAGAGATTCCAAAAAGGGGATTATAAGCAGAAACTTATTAGTTAAGTTGAACCTTTATTTTCTCTTGTTTCTAGCTTATACCGTATCACACTAGAGCTTCCTGAGGTTCTTTCCTCCCTTTATTAGCATGCCTCTTCCTGTCACGAGTTGTTCCTCTAGAACCGGACTGTATCGCATTTCCAGCCATCAGGATGGATCAGTAGTCTGAAGCTGTGTGTGGCCATCATTTTACCTCAGTGACACAGCATGCTGTCTGGACCACCTGTGGGCCAAGGCGAGCGGGGGCTGCTGGCTGATTGGCTGTAGGGAGCGGAGAGCAGGTGCCCCTGCCCAAGCCCCTGCGCCTGGGTGCCTTCACTGACTGAAGCGTGACACATGGTTCTAGCCTGAGTGAACCTTGTGGCTTTTATTCCCCACCATTGTAGTTTGCCACTATTTCCTTGAAAAAGAGATTTTCTTCTGGAAGTTCTGATGAGCCAAGGCAGAAAATCATTGGAAAAGGCAAATTGGAAAAAAGGGAAAGGCAGGTAGGAAGGTTATCTTTGTTTTTCTTCCCTGGGGAAAGAAAGAGGGAGCGTTTTCCCCGAACTGCTAAACTAAATCTCTGTGTTAACCTAAAGGTCAGGCCTCAATAAATGAATGCCACAGCTGGAGATTAGGGAATGAAGCTCATTTGTTTAGACAGCTCGGGGGCTGAAACTAATATAACATAATATGTCACCTCTACTTAAATAATAAAATTTTTTAATTTTTTCTTAAACCTTTATTTTTATTTTTGAGAGAGAGAGACAGAGTGCAAGCAGGGGAGGGACAGAGAGAGGGAGACAGAATCCGAAGCAGGCTCCAGGCCCTGAGCTGTCAGCACGGAGCCTGATACGGGGCTCAAACTCAGGAGCCGTGGCATCCTGACCTGAGCTGACATCAGACGCTTAACCAACTGAGCCACCCAGGTGCTCTCCCCGCCCCCCCCACCCCCACTTTTTAAAAAAATTTTTTAATCCAAAGATTTTTTTAAAGTAGGTTTTTAAAAACATTTATTTTCTTCCAGATTTTTATTTAAATATGGTTTCTATCTTAGAATAATCTCTTAAGATATATTAAATGGAAAAATAAAAATACAGAAAAATATATGAAGTAATCTACCATTTGTGCTAAAGATAAAGCAGAGTATTTTTACAGAAAAGTAAATAAACAGCTGAAGGCGGCAGGTGGGCACCAACTCTGCCCAGTCCAGGGGAGGCTTCCCCAGAGGCGGAGGGACTTGGTGGTGGTGAGGGGCGTGATTGCTTTCGGTGGCTCTTTGTGTTTAGCAGTTGCTTCCCCGGTGACTCACCTGATTGGGCTGAGTCTCTGTCTACTGTCTAAGGCTCTGTGCACACATACATGTCCCCAGGGTCCCCAAAGGGACCTTTGATCATTTGACATCCCTTTCCACCCACCATCAGAATAGAGCCCTGGGACTTTTCTTTTATTCTGAGGGGGAATGGGAGGTTACATAGTCTGGAAGGAAGAAGTTGTGTTTTGGAAGTGGTTGTGGAGGACAATAAAAACCATTAAATCCCCTGAATTCAGAGGTCTTAGGTCAGGTGTGGGTGGAAAACAAAAATGTTCCTCTTGGGTTTGGATCCTCTTAGAAAGAGAATATATCAGGGCTCTGGGTTTATTTCAGGAATCTGACATTTCCCATTTTGTCATTGTTGCCTCTAAAAATGAGTGTTTTAAAGGATGCCAGTAAACATTTCATTATGTCACAGCACACTAATTAATGTTAGAGATGTTACATATTTTGCTGAACGGCTGAGTGAATGGTGGATATAAATCAACATATCAATAGAAGGCTAAAGCCAGATATCACGTCCTAGAACAAACTTCCAGGATGAAAGAATAAACCTGAAAATTTAGCAAGTTTTTAAAATATTATCACAATTTCAATATTCAACGTTTTAGATGTCAAATGTAAAAAGCGTGACACAATGCAGGAACAAAGCTTCTTTTTTAGCTGAGCTGAATATTCTGTTATTAGCAATAAATCTAAAAGGCATGGCTTGTTTGTCTTTGAAGTTATGATACCGATCCGTGTGATAGAATCGCACACACACTCAGGACCACTGACCACGCACAGGTCCAGGGATGCTAGGAATGATGCTGAGGGAGACATTTGCCTATTGAACCTTCCAGTGCCACAGCCAGATATCTACCAGATTTGGCTGAAGTTCAAGGCTGAAGCTGAATGTTGATCCATCCTACAATTATTCCCTATTCTATAAATGATTTCCCTCCTTCTCTAAAACTGTGAAACCTGCATCCTGTCCTGGAGTGAGATGCTTTCAACACTTTTGTTTGCCAGTAGCCTGCTTTCCCGTGAAAGTTAATTTTTCACTCCCCATGGTTATTCTCACTATTCCACACACTTGTGAATTTACTCTTTTCCACTTACTACATTAGCTTTAGTGAGAGATCTGAGATGCATCAACTAAGCACACACACACACACACACACACACACACTCTCTCTCTCTCTCACACACACACACACACACACAAACATATTCACATGTAATTCTCCTCTTGGGAAACAGGGTGGTCAAGGCTGACCCAGGTCCTGCCCCTACTGGGCTCTCAGCCTCATGGGGGAGGTAGCCATTAAACAAACAAATGCAAATACAGAATTACCAATGGGATGAGTGTCAAAGAAGGGAACTGGAGGCTCTGAGAGAAGAACAGAGAGGATGTATTTTAGGTTGGGAAGTTAGAGAATGTGTCTGAGTCTATTCCATCTGCTACAACAATTTACCATAGACTGAGTGGTTTAAACAACAAACATTTATTTTTAGGGCTGGGAAGCCCAAGATCAAAGCAGCAGCAGATTTGATGTCTGATGAGGGCCCACTCCCTGGTTATAGATGACCATCTTTTTACTGTGTGCTCACGTGGGGAAGGGGTGAGGGAGTTCTCTGGAGCCTCTTTTATAGGGTCACTAATCACTTCATGAGGCTCCACTCCTATGACCTAATCACCTCCCAGAGATGCCGCTTCCTAATACCATCACACTGGGGATTAGGATCTCCACCTGAATTTTGAAGGGTCACGAACATTCAGTCTATAGCAGAAGGCCTCTCAAAGAAAGTGGTTCTCAGGATGAGACCCAGAGGGAGAGTAGGAGTTGGTCAGTTTGGGAGGTGGTTGGAGTGTTCCAGGCAGAGGGAACAGCGTTAGCTGGAGTCCCGAGACTGCAAAGAAAAGGACACAAAGAAGGCAGTGGGACTGGAGCTTGGTGAGGGCATGAGTTGAGGTTGGAGAGAAGTAGGTAGAGGCACATCACGAAGGGTCTTGAAACCCAATGGGATTCAAGCCATAGTAAGAAATTATGTTGTATTTACAATATACAATTACATATATTTCTAAGTTCCTTTTTGGACAGCGGAACTGGACTCCCAATATCTTTAGCATGTTTACTTACTTGATCATTTCTCTTGTGTGTCCCCATCTCCTGTCCCCCTCTGCACAGCCACACAGGTGGCCCTCTCATCCACTTGGATTCCCTGCCCCGCCGCCCCACTCCTGCACAGAGCCTGTGTTGTTCTGCTTCACCTAATTGCACGGGTTTAGGGCTGACTTATTCAGGAAGGAAAGGGAAGGAGCCCTGGCTTTTCTGTTTTAACTCGTTACACACAAAAGATTTTTGGAAGAGGTGAATTGAGAATAAAGGTATGGCAAGGGTATTAGTTTGTTAGGGCTGCTATAATGAAATGCCGCAGACTGGGTGGCTTAAACAACAGAAATTTATTTTCTCACTGTCTTAGAGGCTGGAGGTCCAAGATCAAGGTGCCAGCAGGGGTGGTTTCTCCTGAGGTCTGTCTCCTTGGCTTGTAGGTGGCCGCCTCCTCATTTTGTGCTCACGTGGCCTTTCCTGTGTATGCTCCTCCCTCGTGTCTCTTCCTCTTCTTATAAGGTCACCAGACCTCATTTAACCTTAAATAGTTCTTGTTTTTTTTTTTAAGTTTGTTTATTTATTTTGAGAGAGACAGAGACTGCACAAGTGGGGGAGGGGCAGAGAGAGAGGGAGAGAGAGAGAGAATCCCAAGCAGGCTCCATGCTGTCAGTGCAGAGCCTGGTGCGGGCATTGAACCCACGAAGCCATGAGATCGTGACCTGAACTGAAACCAGGAGTCAGATGCTTAACTGACTGAGCCACCCAGGTGCCCCCTTAAATACCTCTTTAAAGACTGTGTCTCCAAATACAATCATACTAGGGGTTAGGGATTCAACATATGAATTTTGGGG